GTCTATGTGTCACAAGTTCTTTAGCTTCTACATTTCCCATATTATTCTTGCCCCCCCTATTTTCTATCTACCGTCTATGCTATTTATTCTCTATACCTTTTCCCCCCTTCTCCTCCCACTGCCCTGTTGCTAACCCTCCATGTGATCTCCACTTCTATGGCTCTGATCCTGATCTAGCTGTCTGCTTAGTTTGCTTTTGTTTTATGTGTGGTTGTTAATAACTGTGAGTTTGCTGTCCTTTCTCTATTCATATTTTTATCTTCTTTTTCTTAGATAAGTCCCTTTAACATTTCATATGATAAGGGCTTGGTGATGATGAACTCCTTGAATTTGATCTTATCTGAGAAGCACTTTATCAGCCTTTCCTTTCTAAATGAAGCTTTGCTGGATAGAGCAATCTTGGTTGTAGGTCTTTGAATTTCATGGCTTGGAATGCTTCTTTGCAGCCCCTTCTTGCCTGTAAAAGGTCTCTTTTGAGAAATCTGCTGACAGTCTGATGGGAAGTCCTTTGTAGGTGACTGTCCCCTTATTTCTTGCTGCTTCTAGGATTCTCTCCTTCATTTTAATCTTGGCTAATGTAATTACGATGTGCCTTGGTGTGTTCCTTCTTGGGTCCAACTTCTTTGGGACGCTCTGTGCTTTCTGAATTTCCTGGAAGTCTTTTGCCTTTGCCAGATTGGGGAAGTTCTCCTTTATTATTTGTTCAAATAAGATTTCCACTTGCTCTTTCTCTTCCCCTTCTGGTACCCCTATAATTCGGATATTGGAGTGTTTAAAGATGTCCTGGAGGTTCCTTAGTCTCTCCTCATTTTTTTGAATTCTTGTTTCTTCATATTTTTCTGTTTGGTCATTTTTTCCTTCCTTCTGGTCCACTCCCTTGTTTTGAGTCCGTTTCCTTTCCATCACTATTGGTTTCCTGTGCATTTCCCTTAATTTCAATTAGTTTAGCCTTCATATGTTCCTCTAATTTGTGGTTAAAATCAACCGGTTCTGTGAACATCCTGTCACCAGTGTTTTGAACTGTGCATCTGAGAGGTTGGCTATCTCTGGGTCACTTAGAAGTATTGGCTCTGTGGCTTTGAGCTGTTCTTCTGCTTGAGCCATAAGTTTAATCCTGAAAACTAGAGTCCGAAAGAGTTTAGACTTTATTCAGTGGATGGTGGAATCTAGTAGAAGTTTTTAAGCAGAGGAGCAATCTGATCAGACGTCTCCTTACAGTGGATTAGCCAGGTGATCAGGAGAGTTGAACCAGGCCAAGGGGAGTGTAGTATAGAAGGAGACAGGTTGGAAGACATTTGGGAGATAGAAATGAAAGTGCTTAATAATAGCTGGATGTGTCAAGTGTCAGTAGATGGGAAAATATAACCATGGAAGTAATTCAAATAGCCTGGGGTGAAGTGGCCAGCATGAGCATCATACACCTCAGTCTCTATACACTGACCTACTTGACTGCAGGTAGGAAATACTGCATCAACAGCCCCATTGTTGTCAAAGAAAAATCAGGTTGTTCTGTAATATGTGATATCTGTTTTCATGGGTCTATGTGATTTTGAAGTCTTCTATTTTAGACTATGGGTGTTTTTGTTTTATGATGCTGGAATTCCTGTTTATTTTGTCACAACTAGATTTTGAAAGTCTTTTAGTATAGGGACTATATGTGTTAGTTCTTTTGTTTCTTACCAAAGAACTCAGTACAGAACCATGCACTTGGCTTATTGAATATTTGTTAACTGATATCTCTATTTATATGTTTTAATTTTATTGCCCCATTAAAATCTGGATCTTTTCTTGACCAGGTAAATATTTTGAGCTATTTGATCAGTTCCGTATCCCCTATCCTGGTTTAAAGCCCAAATGGCACACCTGGTAGTGTAATTTTTTCCATCAGAGTTACTTGATTTGGAATTTACCTGTCAGTTATATTGCTATGTACAGGATTTTTAGGTAGTAAGAGTACATAACAATGCAACTACTATGAGTTACTGTAGCATTAGTAAAGAGTTGTAGTTTCAGAGGAATTATATCTGGGGAAAAGTCTGTTACAAATGTGAAACTGTAGTTAGTCTGGACCTCTAATGTTACGGAGAGGAATGATGTAAAATCCCTAACTAGCCATGTATGGAACTTTGGTAATCTACATTTTTTCTACATTTTCTACAGCAGGGTTTTTCCACAGTGCTGAAGCAGGACAGAATTCTTTGCTTTTTGTTAAAATGTACTTGAGCAGTTTGTTACTCAGGGGCAGTGTCAGTGATCTTTGGGTGCAACTTGAGTAGTGATTTAATTTCATAAAGCCCTTTGGGTTTAAGCTAAATGAAAGAGAATCACCTCTCAAATATATGCCACTCCCACTTGGAGAGCTTTTCATTTTACAGCCTCAGTACTAAGATCAATTTCTGGGACTCTTTTCATTTACTCACCCAACATCTATTGAGCACCTACCGTGTTTCACACACAGTCCCAATTTTAAGAGCTGATGAAGCTGCACTGAATAAGATAAACCCAAACATCCCTTTATTCATGGAGAAACATTCCAGTGGGAGAAAATAGGCAATAAACGAAGTACAAATGTGCTGACATTGCTAAGAGCAATGGAGAAAATAAAATAGGAAAGGGGGAAGGGTGGGAACACTAGGAATTGGCTGTGGTAATGTTGATGGTATGTTTAAAAGAGTGATTGAGGAAGGTGACTTTTGAGCAAAGAAATGAGTCATGCAGATATGTGAATAGAGATCATTTTTGGTAGAGCAAATTGCTTTTAGGCCTTTTTGGTTTCATTTGATTGATTGACTTTCCTTGATTTGACTGTGGATGTATATATGATGAAACTTTATAGAAAATGAAATATACATCAGTTGGGATAAAAAACAATTAAAAGAAAAATAACCACATGAACATATTTGGTAATTGAAAATTTTTTTATTTTGGACTACTATTAAAGATACATGTGGAGTGTGTGAGCATGTGTGTCCTGGCTCTGTGTGTGTGTGAAGGTTTTTATCAAGGTGGCCCTAGTAATTATATTGTGGAATGTTCTTAAAGAGGATGTTATAATTGGCTATTTGAGCTCAGCAGTCAGTCTGTGTTTATTCTTTTGCTGTTAGATTAGTACTGTGCAGAATGAATATTGGGGAAGACAGAAGAGAACAAGACATAATGTTCTAGTCAGAGTGGCCAGACTGTCGTCTATAGAAACAGTGAAATAAAACAGCATGCTTGAGTGGCAGCAGTACTGGACTAGCAATCCTAAATATCCTTTCGTAGTGGCAGAATAATTTAACATACATACCAGTTCAGCTCTACAGCTTTTGCTCTTTAGAGCTCTGAGCAAATTCCTGGAGAGTCAGCAAGACGCAGAGTCTCTTTTGGAGTTAGGTGCCAGAGGTCTAGTTTTGATTTCAGATGGCTTCAAAGTGCTTGAGAAGATTGTTTGCATTGCATGATGTTTCTAGAACTGTGATTGGATAAACAAGTTACTGAAAACGAATGTGATACATTGATTTTCTACTGTGGAAGCATGGTGTACTGCAGGATGTCATCTTGTAATGTTCCATTATTGGTTATAAAGAAACTGAATCCTTTGATGACAGTCTTTTTCTTTATCTTACATGATATAATCACATAAATTTACATTATCAGCTGGTTGAATTTTTTTTTATCCTGAGGAACAGATTTTATATTTTACTTTATCTTAATTGTTAAGCATGGAACAAAGGCATTTTCTCCTCATCCTTGGCATGAACTATGAGTAATACTACCTCAATGTACTGATCAACATGTCAGGTATAATGTCAAAACCAAAATCTTTTTCTTTTAAGCTATTAGTTTATTAAGTCATTCTCTCCTCTATTGAACATTCATTAACTTAACTGATTTATTGAGTACCTACTTTGTTCTAGACATTCCTTTGAGATTCTCTGATGAACTTTTCTTGCCTTCACAGAGGTGAAACTATAGAAGATAAGAGAGTTAACAATTACAATAATGTGTGGTATGCATTCCGAGTATGGAAGGAGACAGTTCTGTTAGTTGTTTATAGCAGGGGCCACCTGACTTGGAACAGGATGTAATTTAAGTTGAGATCTGAAGAATGATGTAAGAGTTAACTAACTGAAAAGTGGGTATAGCAATATAGGGGAAAAGGAAAGTTATTTTGGGAAGATAAAACCCATGTGCAGTAGCCCAGAGACAAAAGAAAAGAAAACAACAAAAAGCAAGCAAGGAAAACAGGATCTTCACACATGGCAAACAGCATAAAGTTTCTAATGTTTGGAGCATAGATTTTTGAGGAGGGAAGATACAAGGAACTTTGAAAGACATTGCTTATTTTGGATCTTATCCTGTGGACACTTGAAATGCCTGAGAGGTTTTAAGCAGTGGATTGACAGGATTGAATTTGCCATTTACAAAGATCACAGTGGTTTCAGCTGAAGGAAAACAGAGGGCAAAGGCAACCTATGCATAGGAGGCCTAGGGCTGTGATGGCAATACTTGTAAGAGATGTTGTGAGCCAGGACTGGGACATTCACATTGGGGATGGAGATAAATGGATGGGTTCAAGAAATATTTAGAAGATGGAACTATTCAGGACTTAAGATTGAAGGAAGAATCAAGGATGCACCTAGGTGTCTGGCTTGACCTAGAATGATGGTGATGATAATGATGCTTAATGCCAGTTGTTGCTTCTTACTTCTAAGTATGCCCTTCACTGCTTGCTCTGTGAAAGTGAACATGGACCCTTTCAGTACTTATCTTTGGCTTGCTAGCAAAATGTTAAGAGAGAGATTGAAGGAACAAAGAGTTTTACTCCCTGGTTTTCCTGTGCTTGCCTGGCAGGCACACCCCTGCATGCAGCGTGCAAATGGGGCTTCTCCATTGTTCAGGTTCCTACAGCTCTCAGCGACCTTCCTCCATCCCCTCACCCTCTGCTTTGGGCAGTTTTGTAGCAGAGTAACTACAATGAGACATTTCCCCACAAACATCTTTCTTTGTCATTCTAGAAGACAGATTTGTGGCAAATTCTACAGGGTGGATTTCCAGCAGTTGTGCCAGATATGCACCCCCTCGGATAAGGTATGGTTCTCAGCTTTAGGGTTGGGGAAACTTCCTTGGGTACTGTATCTCAGCTCTAGGGGTCATAGTGGTGATAGGCTATGTTGTATAATATTATATTTGCTATTATTGATTATATTATCTATTCCTTTATTGTTTAGAGTTCTTTTAACTTCTTACTAGCCAATTCCTTATTATGTCAGTCACCTGCTATAGTCAATAATTCTTTTTTTTAAATGTTGAATTTACTGGTGGGACACTGGTTAACAAAATTGTACAGATTTCAGGTGCAAAGTTCTACAGCACCTCATCTGTGCCCTGTATTGTGTGTTCACCACTCTAAGTCAGGTCTCCGTCCATCACCCTCAGTGACCCCTTTTCCCTTCTCTACCTCCCTTCCCCTGGCAGTCACCAAAGTGTTGGCCATGTTCATGAATTTTTTCTCTTTTTTTCTTTTTTACTCAATCCCTCCACCTCCCAGCACTGCCCCCCCAATCAGCCTGCTCTCTATTTATGAATCTGTCTCTATTTCGCTTGTTAGTTCTTTTTGTTCATTAGCTTCCACATGTGAGTGAAATCATATGGTACTTGTCTTTCTCTGACTGGCTTATTTGACTTAGCATAATGCTCTCCAGATCAATTCATGCTGTCACAAAGGATAACATTTCCTTTTTTTTTTTTTAATGGCCAGATAGTATTTCATTGTGTAATATATTGTACCACAGCTTCTTTATCCACTCATCTACTGATGGGCACTGAGGCTGCTTCCAAATCTTGACTATTGTAAATAATGCTGCAGTGAACATAGGGGTACATATATTATTTTGAATTAGTGTTTACAGGCTTTTTTGGATAAATTCCCAGAAGTGGAATTTGTGGGTCATAAGGTAGTTCCATTTTTAATTTTTTGAGGTAATTTCATACTGCTTTAATAATTTTTTATTAATAATTTTTTCATTGTTTAAATTCCTGTGTGTTTTTTTCTTTCCTGATTGGGCTTAGGCTCATAGAGTGTTCTGATGTGATCCTATAGGAAGAATATATTTGGGGAGAGGGATAGACTGTGTCCCTCCGCTCTCATCTGTCTGTGGAATGGGAATAATATACTCCTCACAAGGTTGGAGTGATTACATTGTTCATAATATATCATCTTGGGGTGAAACGAGTCAATGTGTATAAAGAACTGAGCACAGTGTCTGGCTCACAAACCCTTGGTTTGTGTTGTTGGAATGCTGGGCATTGTGGTTGGTGTCGGGTCTAGAAAGATGATCAGGGCTGATTTCACCCCGAGGGCTTGTGGAGTGGGGAGAGGCTCAGAGACTTTTAACTTAAGTGTCAGGTAAAGGTCTGAATTAAGTGCCCTAGGGAGTCTTTTGAGGAGTCCTAGAGAAGGTGAAGGCTGAGTTGGATCTTGGAGGGGAGGGGGGAAGGGCCTTCTGTATAGAGAGAACAAACAGCAATAGCTGTGGAGGATTGAGAGTGCTCCACAGTGCAGTCCACAGTGGGGTCGTGGCTGGCCTGAGTTGGGGTCAGGTGATAATAGGTGTACATATTACACTGGACACACCGTTGGAGTAGGTGTTTATTTCACATCACTGTTCCATAGTGTGCTTCACCTTCATTTCTAGGTTTATTACTTTTCATTATTTCCAATGGACAACAATCTAAAACTACTTAAAATTTTATTTAGTGCCAACATTTTCCTTGGGCTTTCATTGAATGTGAACTTTGTTGTGAATTGGAGTGTCTAGAAGGGAAATGGGGGTACTACAGCCAGGACTACTCCATTGGGTTTACTTAGGATTGTGGATAACTTACTTGATTCCTGGACGTTGATAAAGCTCAGAGCTGTTTACAATTCACACTTCTCTTCAGCTTGCAAATCTTTTTGAAAAGTTCAACAACTGAAAAGAATATTCCTTAGAATTGTGTGACTTTTGTTTTAATTTTTTTTAGAGAGAGAGAGGGGAGGGGAGGGAGAAAGACAGGGAGAGAAACATCAGTGTGTGGTTGCCTCTCACATGTCCCCCATGTGGGGGACCTGGCTTGCAAACCAGGCATGTGCCCTGACTGAGAATCGAACCAATGATCCTCTAGTTCACAGGCTGGCACTCAATCCACTGAGCCAAACCAGCCAGAGCTGTATGACTGTTCTTTAAAGAATTCAAACTTTTGGAGATCTAGGAAATTAAAGTGTAATTAACTTGATGCCTTGGAGGAATAATGTAGCCTTAAAACTCTGTGAGTTCTCTGAAGTGAACATTCCTTTTTTTTTTTCCTTTTCTCTATTTGGCAAACTCCTGCCCCTCTGTGAATATACAGCTCATATATCAGTGCAGGAATGTTCTAAGATAAGTCCATTGTAATGCTGTTATGCTTTCAGCAAGGACCTTTAAGTCATAAAACAAAAACAGGCCAAAATTTTGGAATTTGATCTTGAGATTCTGGTTGATGTGCCTTGGCTGGAATGGTACTCTGACCCTCTTGAAATTCCTGCTTTTCAATCTTTAGAGGAGGGGTGAATATATTCTGTACAGAAATATTGGAAGAATAATCATCGGTTTTTTTTTTTCAGAAAGAAGAGTTAAACCATTCTTTATTGGTTAGGACTTCTGGGAATTATACAGGAAGGAAACTAAGAAGGAAGATGTCAAACTGTGACCCTCTGAAGGTTTTTGTTTTCTTTTTCCCTTGTTTCTCTTAGCTGTAACAGACACCTATAGAGAACTCTTAGTTTTTGCTAAAGACCTATTTTTTTATGTAAAAGAATGTTGAGAGACCTAGGGGGAAATAAGGCTTTGGGGCACTTTTACTTGGCTTGATTATGTACCTTGTATACAGTGACTAAAGTTGAAGTGTGATTCTTCTGATAATTGTCTCTTCTCTTGTTTGGGTTACAAACCAAGGGCAGGAGCCATTTAAAGATTATTAAAGTCTGGGGTTTCTTTCGAAGGTTGATAAAATATTTCATGTTGCTTACTCATTGAAAAATATGATACTTTAAGAACAAGTATAAATTTGGTGGTGATGAAATATAGAAGAATTGAAAAAAATTATGTGTTAACTACCCCATACCTACCACTTAAATTGTAAAGTTACATTTTATTATACTTGCTATATGATATACATTTATCATATTTATTATACTATGTAGTCACATGTTTATCCTTTATCTGCCCCTTTATTTGTGATTAAGGATTATTATTGCAGCATTTCATACTATAGCAAAAGGCAGTTAGAATGGTTAAGTGAATATGGTATATGGTATATGATGGGATTCCATGCAGCAGTTAAAAAGAATGAAGCATTTTATGTGCACTGACCACGAATAATCTCTTAAGATAAATGAAGGAGACAAAAAGGTTGCGTGGTTTCTGAATCATACTATTTATTTGTATAAGGAAAAAGGGTATTTGTACTTACATGCTATATTGGCATGGAATATCTCCAGAAAGCTTAAGCAAGAAGCTGATAAAAGTAGGTATATTTCTGGCAGCCTCCTACTGTCTGTGTGAGTATTTAATTGAGGCCTATCCGGAAAAAGTCCAGCTACTGTTAATACAATGTGAATGGTTTGTGCAACATCGCTGCAACCTGGCAGCCAAGGAGAGTGGACTGGAATGTGCCTGCATGAGCAATGATGACTTCACTGTACTAGTCAGTGGGGGTAGTAGACGCTGCTGAGTGAGCATGTGTAACTGTGGCCATGTATTCAAAATGATTGAGCAAATATTGCAGTGAATCTGCATCAAATTTTGCATTAAGGTTGAATATTCCTCCACGGAATCTCTTCAGATGATTCAGAAGGCTTTGGGGGATCATATAGTGAGTGCAGTACAAATAAAAGTTTGGCATAAATGCTTCAAAGATAGTTGAGGATATATCTGTTGAAAGTGATCCACATTCTGGAAGGCCTGCAACAAACAGAACATCTGAAAAGTTTGACTGTGTAGGATTGCAATCAACAAAGATTGGTGACTGACAGTGTGAGAACTAGAGGTTGATCTGGGGATTCCAAAATCTACTGTGTCTGAAAATTTTGACCCAGGATCTTGATAAGAAATGTGTCATGGCAAAATTTGTTCCTCGGCTTTTGCTACCAGAACGGAAGGAACATCATGCTGCAGTTGCTAATGATGTGATTCAAACCACTACCAGTGAACCAGATGTTAAGAAGGTCATAACTGAAGATGAGTTGTGGGTGTATTGCTATGATCCAGAAATGAAGGCCTGGTCATCCCAATGGAAGTTGCCTGGTTCTCCATGTCCAAAGAAGGAGTGGCAGAGTTGCAGCAAGATCAAGACCAAGACCATGTTAAATGTATTTTTTGTTTGGGGAGATGTTGTCCATCCAAGTGAGTCCCTCCAGACCAAACAATTAATAAGGTATGCTACCTCAGTGTTCTTCGTTGGTTGAGACGCAATGCCATGAAAATGACCTCAGCTATGGGCAGCCGGTGATGGACAACTTTATCAAGACAATGCACCTGCTCATGTATCATGTCTCCTGCAGAGTGTTTTGGTGAAACATCAAATCACCCAGGTGACTCAGCCCAGATTTGGTGCCCTGTGACTTCTGGCTTTTTCCAAAACTAAAACCGCCTTCAAAAGGGAAGACTGTCGATGAGATTCAGAAAAATACAATGGGGCAGCTGATGGCGGTTCCAGGGTGCCTACTTTGAAGGGAACTGAGATGTCATTGTCCTGTGAACAATGTTCCTTGTGTCTTCCTCAAAAAATGTCTCTATTTTTCATAGTACATGGCTGGATACTTTCTGTACAGACCTTGTATACAAGACAAATTTTAAAAACTGTTGCCTGCTTATTTATGTGCTGCTCTGAAATCATCAGGATGTCAAGGTGTCAGACTCATAATCTGGGTTTTAGGAGCTGTTCCAGTGTGAGTCGCTTTCCCCTCCCATCTGCTAAAAACACTAGGGGACTTTTCTCTGATTCTCATGTGTGAATCTGATGGGGCTTATGAAGGTAAAATTTATATGCAGGTCTCCAGGAGTTTTAAAACTCTCAAGCTAGTCCTTAGTAATCCTTGGAAATTTGTCAACATTACCAGTTAAGTGTTCCTACCAGATACTGGCTTCTATAGCTTTGCTTCAGGTAAACTGATCTCTGCTGTGATTCTCCGTGTTTTCCTGTCTCTCCAGATTTTGGGGTGGTGGTTTGCCTTGTGACCTCAGATCTCTGATGCATCTAAGAAAAGTCACTGATTTCAGTTTTATAAGCTTATTTTTTTGCTGTGAAGATGAGAGTGATGATTTTATAGTTCTTTATGAGTCAGCCGGAACTGGAGCTCTGGTGCCCAGCAATTTTTGTTTAAAGAGATCCCTCTAGGTTAGCGTTCCCCAGCCTTTTTGGTACCAGGGACCAGTTTTACGGAAGACCTTTTTTCAGTGGTTTTGGGATAATTCAAGTGCATTATATTCAAGTTCACTTCCTGCTGTGTGGCCCAGTTCCTAACAGCCCCAGACTGGTACCTGTCCACCACTGAAAGTTGGGAACCCTTGCTCTAGGTGATTCTGATTAATGCTAATGGTTGAGAACCATTGATTTAGTCTACTCTCCTCATTTTATAGATGAGACCACTGAAATCCAAAGAGGGCAAGTGACTTCTAAGATTTTATAGAGTCTAAACTAGAATCTCAGTCTCTTGACCAGATCATCTTCATGCTGGTGTTTTTTTATTCTCACCTGAGGATATGTTTATTGATTTTAGAGATCAAGGAAGTGGGGGGTAGAGAGAGAGACATTCATTGGTTGCTTCCTGTACACACCCCAACTAGGGATTGAACCTAGCAACTTAGGTATGTGCCCTGACTGGGGATTGAACCTGCAACCTTTTGGTGCAGGGATGACTCTCTAACAGAGTCACCAGGCCATGGCTTCCTACTGTTTTTTTTTTTTTTTTGTATTTACATACAGTTACCTTCAAGGCACTCACTATATTTTATATTGAAGGTTCTGGAAATACCTCTTTTGATGGTTCACTGACTTAAGTCCTTGGTATTTACCTCAAATTCATTCTGGGATCTTGAAACTCACTTGAAATGTTCCCATTCATACAAATAACAACCTGCCCCACAAGTAAGCTCTTAATGCTTAATATTTTACAGCATGGATGTCTGTAAAATATATGTAGAAATTTTTATTTTCTCCATTTATTCTTACAGAAATATGTTAAAGTACCTAGAAGAAAACTTTAGAGCTATTTAGTGTTTTAGAAAAGCCTAATGTGAACCACTATATGGGATGAATCAGCTGTGTCTGTCACTTTTTCCTTCCCGTGCATTTCCATAATTTTATTTTCTTAATTTTAGCAGTTGTATCCCCTTTTCTTTCTATAAATCTCTGTCTGGAGAAGGCTGTGGAATATTTGTTTTAGAGGAGAATTGGCAGACTTTTTCTGTAAAGGGCCAGATAGGAAATATTTCAGCTTTTGCAGGCCATGTGGTCTGTTGTCATACTGGCTCTGCTCTATCCTTGTAGAAGAAAACAGCCAACTGTAGGCAATATGCAAATGAATGGAAATGGTACTGTTTCAGTAAACTTTCTTTACAAAAATAAGCTGCTTGTATTTAACCCATGACCCCGAGTTTCCCAGCCCCTATACAAATTTTATTTTAATTTTTATGCCCCAAAAGATGTCGCTACTTTTATTTATGAATTGTTGCCCCAGCATCACTTTCATTAGATTGCTTTGAAAAGTAATAATAGATATTTTGCTGTGGAACATTACATCTTAGTTTTGGTTTCTTTTTGGAGACATGAGCTTTCTTGGTGTTGAAGAGACAGATTTTTTTCCCCTCTAAACAAGGTTTGACAAGGGTTCATTACTTGTGGTCTCCAAGTGACTCTAATGAGGAAAAAAACCCTGTTCACTTACTGTAACTGCTGAGGCAAGCTGTACTAACTGTGGTGCATGGTAAAATGTATCTTTTAATAAGTTCTTAAAGATGAAGAATACTAGAAAATCTCAAGTTATGGTGTGGTATAGATGCCCCTAGAGCTCTTAGATTAGAGGGATGGATTTAATTTACTTGAGTCCTTGTCAGGTTGTTTATTGCATGCTTAGGAAAATTGGACATTGGTGTTTGTGCTTTGCAGCTTACTCAGGTCTTGGCTGCCGTGGCTTTTCATTAATTCCTTAAGATCCTTTTAGGGCTCTGGCTGCCTGGCTAGGACCTGGAAGGATAGATACAGGCTGAGAAGTAGCCATGGGACGCAGTGGCTGTGTGGGCCCAATATTTTTGTTTTATCAAATGTATGAACTTGGGGTTTTGCTGGAGAGAACTCCTGGCTACTTGGGTTAATTATTATATGCTATAATTCATCTTTGTTTTAGAGATGTATACAATTTGAGCTATTTAAAACTTAAAAAGTGCAAATTATAAAATTCTGTTTTGGGTGCTTTTCTGTTCTTTGGGAAATGCAGCTAACCTTTAATAATGGTGGGTATTTGAAATATTTTAAGTTTTAGTACCAACTACCAATCCATTTAAAAAAGGTCAGTTCACAATATTAGAATACTAAAACCTTGTTTAATTAGAAGGGTCTTATGATTAGAATTTAATTATATTTCAGGCTAAAAAGAATATCAGAAGGTGACTCTAGAGGGCAGTGTAACTCTGTCAGTTCACGCTTCTGGCATTTAAGTTT